TTAATTCAGAAGTACCTCTGGGATAGATTTGGTGTTGAAGAATTCTACAAGAGGTGCAAATACTTTCAGCTTTGATAAGGGAGTTTATTAAAAGCCAAGGGAATGTGGGTAACCAGAAAACAAAATGCCACAAATTTCTACCATAGTCCAAGACAGTGTGAAAACATATTTACCGTATCATTTTTTGTAAACTTACTGTAATTTTAATAAGGAAAACCTCATAGCAATTAGCAGATTTTTGGTTCAGTTTTATGGCCATCTGTTTAACACCTAACAGACTGTCCAGTGCAGTCTTCTAGAAATATAATGAACCACTGGGGCTAGTCTATATAATATCATAGGTAACAATGAAACAGGTAGTGTTAACATTAGGGTTACATACCACCTCAGTGCTTTTAAATACACCTCAAGCCTTCTCTGTACATCAGGGGAAAGGCTAGACATATTGTACTGTTAACTTCCAGCACTGGTAGTTATGCCATGTAATTATTTAGGTTCACAAGTCATTTGGAGAGAAACATGCAAAGCAGGACCCACGTTATGACCAACCCAGAAAATTTCTGATAGGTGTTGGAAAAAAAAAAAGAAAGTCGACTGTAAAAGAAAGTAAAATAGAAACTGTACTAATGATAAAGTAGCAGCTCAGACTCTTGCACACTATACCACTGAGATCATGTGTTATTTGGGCCATGACAAACATTGCTTCTGTTGCAAATGGCTGGTGCAAACAGTGCTTAAATTCAGGTTATATATAACTAAATTTGGAAGTCTTGGTACTGTATTCAAGAGAAGAAAAATAGATAAAATTTGATTAAACTACTTATCCTCTACCACTTTGGGAATGTACATTCTAAAAAAGATTGAATTTATATAATTACCTTCAGTTCCTTTCTTAACACAAATCATAATATGCAACTTCAGATATTTGCACATATTAAACACAATAATTGTTTGGGGTTTAGAACAATCTCTAGTATTTCAGTAGTAAAAATAACATTATTTTCTGATAGTTGAATGCTACAATAAAAATGCTGCTACATTTGAAAACATGAGATATTATAGAATCATAGAATCATTTAGGTTGGAAAACACTTTCAAGATCAAATCCAGCTGTTAACCAAGTACTTCTAAGTCTACCACTAAGCCATGTCCCTAAGTGCCACATTTGCACATCTTTTAAATACCTCCAGGGACAGCCCTTTTGGTGAAGAAATTTTTCCTAATCTCCAGTCTAAACCTCCACTAGCACAACTTGAGGCCATTTCCTCCCATTCTGTCAGATGTTACTTGGGAGAAGAGACCAGCCACCTCCTTGTTCCAACCTTCTTTCAGGTAATTGGAGAGAGCAGTAAGGTCCCCCCTGAGCCTTCTCTTCTCAATACTAAACAACCCCAGTTCCTTCAGCTACTCCTCACAGGACATTCAGATGCTCAGAAATACAGCACACCATTGTTCTTTGTTAAGCTAAGTAATTCATATCTCAATATGTGCTAATAAAAATACAAATATTTTAATTATAAATATACATAGGAGTGGTATTCATTTATGTGAATATCCACGTATATACAGTTTTTATAGGTATTCAAGTTTTTACAGATATACAAAGTTTCCATATTGTCAGATGAAGAATTAAAATAATTCTCTATAAAATTACGGTAAATAGAGGTAGGATCATGTCCTTGAATTAGTGAAACGCAGCTGGAAGTGACACGTGAGAAGTCCAGTTAATTGATGCTTTTCTTTCCAAAAGTGATTGAATACTTCAGTTTACATTTCTAATGTCAGAAAAAGGGGCAATTTTCGAAAAACATTGATTATACTCCCTCTAAAATTCAAATTAATTAACATGTTTAATGTCAGCCATACAGAATAGAGACATTCAAATTCATTAGTCATATTTGAAATCCATGGCTGTTATTCATGAAGATTTGTTAAACCACTAACAACAACTTCACTTAATTATTCTTTTTATCTAATCTGTTGCATTCTCAAATCTTCAATCTCTTCTTATTTTGCTCTGGTTATGAAGTACTTTGAAGTGATTTGAAGTTATTCCTTTGGATGAAAGGAACTGTATTATTAAAATATCTCTAAAGTTACTGAGACATCAAACATCCCATTTCAGTTATCCTCATCTCCTTTTCTAGCTATGCAGACAGGGAAGAAATGTAATTTACTACACGTGGATGTCTCTGCCTTTTCCAAACCACTGCCAAATTTAGGATTTCAGATCGTTGCTTAGAACTGTGGGCTATATAAACCATTCTGAGTTGAATCCAACCCTACATCTTCTTATAGTAGATAGAGTTATTGTAATTTTAACAAAATTGATTAAAAGTATCTCACCTAAACTTCTGTAGTCCTAGAATCTATATTTGAAATTCACAGGGTTCTGTCAAAGCACTAGGGGAGGAGTTTAATGACATATGAACACCTTTAGAAAGGAATATATATTTTTTTTTTATCACAAGGTAGAAAACCTTTATTTATCTTTGTCTTCAGCTCCACGAATAAATTCTCTGAAATTAGGTTGTGATTATGAGAACTCTTCACTGAGGACATACATTGAGGACTTCTTTCCCTTTCCAATGAGGATCATTCTACTTCATTATTTCATGTACAACTACATATAGAACTTGCTTGAAACATAAACTAAGAAAGTATATGATACAGAGAAAAGACAAATGCTAATAGCATGTAATTAAAGTCTCATTTGGGCCGTTTCATGCATGTAGGCAGGAGTTTGATCAGTTTGAAATATTTAGATTTTTCACTAGCAGGACAAATTGAGTTATAACTACATGAAAAAGAACACCACAGGTTTGTGCATATGCAATTAATAGCAACAAGGCCTTTTGATTTTAAATCTGACAACAAATTATGGTGACATAATGTGGTGGGTTGACCCTGGCTAGACACCAGGTGCCCACTGAAGCTGCTGTATCACTCCCCTCCTCAGCTGAACAGGGCAGAGAAAATGTAATGAAAAGCTCATGGGTTGAGTTAAGGACAGGGAGAGATCCCTCACCATTTACAGACATAGAGAAAACAGGTTCAACTTGGGGAAATCAGTTTACTTTATTACTAGTAAAATTGGAGTAGGATAATGAGAAATAAAACCAAATCTTAAAACCATCCCTCACTTCTACCTGGGCTTAACTTTACTTCCAAGTACACTACCTCATTCCCCCAGTGTTGCAGGAGGACAGGGAATGGTGCCTGTGGTCAGTTCCTCTCCTGTGGTCAGTTCATCTCATGTTGTCTCTGCTGTCACTTCCTTCTCAGGGGAGGACTCCTCACACTCTTCTGCTGCTCCAGTGTAGGGTCTCTCCCACAGGAGGCATTTGTCCATGAACTCCTCCAGTGTGGCCCCTTCCCATGGGCTGCAGTTCTTCATGAACTGCTCCAGTATGAGTCCCTTCCATGCGGGGCAGCCCTTCAGGAACAGACTGCTCCAGCATGGATCTCTTCCACAGGGTCACAAGTCCTGCCAGAAGCCTGCTCCAGCCCAGACTTCCCATGGGCTTACAGCCTCCTTTGGACATCCCCTTGCCACCAGTGTGGGGTCCTTAACAGACTGCAGGTGGATATCTGTTCCACCATGGACCTCCACAGGCTTCAAGGGGACTACCTGCCTCACCATCGTCTGCACCGTGGTCTGCAGGGGAATCTCTGCTCTGGTACCTGGAGGACCGCCTCCTCCTCTCCACTGACTTAGGTGTCTGCAGAGCTGATCCTCTCACACATTCTAGCTCCTCTCTCTGGCTGCAATTGCTCCTGACAGTAATTTTCTGCCCTTCTTACAGAAGAGTTTCCACCATTACTTATGGGCTCGGCCTTGGACAGCAGTGGATCCCTCTTGGAGCCTGTTGGCATTGTCTCTACAGGATATGTGGGAAGCTTCTAGCAGCTTCTCACAGGAGTCACAGAAGCCTTATAGGCCCCTCTGCTACCAAAACCTTGCCATGCAAACTCAATAAATGTAATCATTTTAGTTCAAATTAGAATAAGTCATTTATTGTTGCCCTAGAAGTGTTTGGGAGTAAAACCCTATATATTTCGCATCTCAGTGAACTACAGTACTACAGTCCTTCTCATCCATTATGAACCAACAAGAACATTTTACTCCATCATTTGCTTTTATATGCATCAGTGTCATGGTTTAAACCCAGTCAGCCATAAATCATGCAGTTGCTCTCTCCCCCACCCCCCCCCACCCCCACCCCCCCCCGCCCTTTTTTGCCCTCTCCCTGCTCCCGGAGAGATGGGGAGGAGAATCAAAAGAATGCAACTCCCACGGGTTGAGATAAGAACAGTTTAGTAACTAAGGTATAACAGAGATCACTACTGCTACCACCATTAATAATAATGATAAAGGAAATAACAAGGGAAGGGAATACAACAGCTCACCACCTGCCGACTGATAACTCGCCCCACCCTGCCGAACCGAGCACCGATAGCTAGTCCAACCACGCAGTTCCCTAGCCTTTCTGGGTAACTCTCAGTTACCTCCCTAGGCATGATGTGCTGTGGTATGCAATACCTCTTTGGCTAGTTTGGGTCAGGTGTCCTGTCCCTGCTTTCTCCCAGCCTCTCCTCCTCCCTGGTAGAGCATGGGATTCACAAAGTCCTTGGTTATAGTAAACATCGGTGTTATCAGCTCTGTTCCCAGGCTGAAAGTCAAAACACAGTGCTGCAGCAGCTAAGAAGGAAAAAAATTGACTGCTACTGCTAAACGCAGGACAATCAGCTATTAACATACATCAATAGACTATCATAGTTATTGATAGAAAGCAACAGATGTGCATAATTTTTCTTGTTTAAATAGGTTGTTAAAATGTAGAAGTAAGTATTTTGGTGTAGCTGTGTGACATATAGCAAACAAGAAAGACTAATATGTGGGATGGTGGCTTTAGCACTATCCTGTGAATAATCCCAGCACTTTTCAATATTGCAATATAATATATCTTTTCCTTAAATGCTTTACTTATCTCATGCAGGTTTTGGACTGGCTACAAACTACATTACAGATTTCAGATAGCGGAATCGAGAAGTAATCAGGACCACTTGATAAGGAATTCATAGAAATTAGTAGTCAAAGCAGTTTCAGATGCATAGTAAGTCAGTTTGAGTTCTTCTCAGAGCAGTGATCATTCATAAATACATTATAAGTTAATGTGAACTTTGGCTACAGAGTTGAAACTAGCAGTATTTTTAATCTCAAACAATAATGCTGTAGCAAGAGAGTGGTTATAAAGTGGCTTCACAAAGCTTCTCTTTTTAAATCATAGGCAATAACGAGGGGAAACCTTTACACTCCAGAATATGCAGATTCTTAGCAGATTCTGCTTTGAAGGCATTTATGTTATAAACTGCTAAGTGAAGGAATAGCCTATACTAATACTATTAATTTTCCATTGTAAATATCTTTGCTGTTTAAAAATTCCCTCCCCTTTTCTTTCCTCAGGGCTTTCTGGCTCTGTTCCAGATTTATCCATTAAAAACTGACAGATTGACACTTTTCATCTTGTGCATGTTGCTATATAGACTGATAAACCAGTGGCTTGCTACCAAAACACTCAGAGCAGTGCAAAGAAATGCAAATGCTCATCAACTATTTTCTGTTAAGATCGGGGCATCTGAATGCTTCAGTTGTCTTTTCCTGAGGCTTCCTTTATGTGTTTTTTAATTAATAGAAAATAGAAAAATAAATTGGAATATACTTTACATAAATTACAGTTCTTTAAACATAAAAATGAATGTGATAATGACAGATAAATGTTACAAACCTGAACCATGAACTCATTATGCTTCTGTTCCACATGAACCAAGGGGAAGGCTGGTTATCACTGTACTTATGAATTGCCAATGATTTAGTGACTGCACTAATGTAGGAATGAGTACAGAAATGTCTTTCATAATAGGATAAGCTATTTGCTTCAGTCTTGAAGTACTGGGAGGAAATAATGTTGAGCTGTAACAGAGATGAACTTGCAAAAATCTTTCTGGTTAAGCATTCTTAGGATAAGCTATTTGCTTCAGTCTTGAAGTACTGGGAGGAAATAATGTTGAGCTGTAACAGAGATGAACTTGCAAAAATCTTTCTGGTTAAGCATTCTTACTTTCTCTTCTTATGAGCGTCATCCCAGGAGGATGAGAGTATGGGGAATGAGAAAACACTAGAAGCTGGTATAGTTTCTTTAGGCAGTTTTTCGGGCATTACAACGAGTACAAGACTGATTCTAAAACTCTGCTGTGATTCCTGATTTGGAGGCATACAAGCTCACTCAAATTTCTTTTTACAAAATGTATACATATGGAGTGTACACACCTAAAAGTGCACAGAAAGGTTTTTTTTAATGTATTTATGGAATTCAGGCAGGGGTGCTTGAGGTAGCATCCCTGATAAAGAATGGTGATGATACATAGCAGTTGAGAGGATGAGAACGGTTCCTCTTCCATATAAGAATTGTTAAGTCATTTTAATAGAGGGAAGCAGCAGTTGTCAGTATAGTTTGCATGTGTAAGGACCCTGAGCACATCCCCGGCATGGCCTAGGGCACCCCCATGCCACTGGTGGCTGTGGGAAGAGGTTCTGGGTCTCTCTGTGGGGAGGCTGTGGCCAGGGCTGACCCCTGCCCATGGGGCACTGTCACTTGGTCCTTGGTGGAGCCACAGGCCCCCTGAGCAGCCAAGGCCCCTGGTGTAGGCTTAGATCCAGAGGGGCTGATGTCTTGGCCTGGCCTCAACCTGGCCCCATCCTAAGGCTGTGTTGAGCATCACCAGGCCTGATGCTGACCCCCTCCTGCAGGCTGATGTTCTGGCAAGCTTTGGCCTGTACCCAGGGATATGCCCAATGCCTGGGGCTGGGGCTACTCCCAGCTGCTCCCTGGCAATGTGTATATTTGTCTGTCTAATTTGAACACTTAGGACAATTGTACACTTTTGGCAAGTGATTATAGATATAGAGTAATGAATCTGAAGGAATGCCATAGATCTAAAAGAGCTACACATGTCGTTTTCCACACTTAAAAAAATTTGCAATGCAGTATGCTCCTCGTGATAAATGTCTACACCTTTCCCCCATTGTTCATGCTCCTTTCTTAGTCACTGAAGTTGCTTACAAGGAGTAACTCTTTGTTATTATCACTTAAGTGCTTGTGTATCCACACTTCAACTTTGTGAACTCATCCCAGTTTCATCAGTGGGACAGATGCTGTTCTGTGAAGGTGAGTATTTGGCTTCACTTTATTATGACCTGTACTATGAATTTAATTTGAAAGTTGAATTAGGCTGAAATGACCAGATGTCCTGGTTTAGCTGACACAGCTGGGAAAATCATAGAGTGAGTCCTCCTGGAACACATTTCTGGGCACATGAAGGAGACTAAAATGATTTGGATCAGTCAGGATAGATTTTCCAAGGGTAAATCATGCCTGACCAGCAGAATTGCTTTCTGTAATGAAATTATGGATTTGTGGGTGACAGGAGAGTGTTGGATACCATTTACATCAACTTTAGCAGGGATTTTAACAGTGTCTCCCACAGTATTTTTTAATAAAATCTAGAACATTATGATGTGAGTGGGTATGCAACTACATTAAAAATCTGTCAGAATAATCATTCTCAGAGGGTAGTGGCTAATAGGTCATAATCTGCATGGAGGCCTGTGAAAAATGGAGTACTACAGAGGCTATCCTGCTACCTGTCCTGTTTATCATCTTCATCAGTGACCTGGAGGAGCTGAATGGAGTGCACTATCAAGTTTGCAGATGACACCAAAGTGTGCACGTGCTGTGTGTGTGTATTTGAAGGGGTTAATGAGTTGCTGAAATATTTAAGAGGAAACGTACCATTTAGAGGAACTGAGATGTTGTACAGTCTTGATCCTTGGAGGTGTTGAAGGCTGGACTCTATCAAGCCCTGAGCAATTTAGTCTCACCTCATAGCTGACCCTACTTAGAGCAGGAGGATGGACTAGAGACATCCTAAGGTCTCTTCTAATCTGAATTATCCTGTGATACTGTGATGCAGTTTAAGCGTCATTCCTTATGCTCTGGGAAAAATCTTTAATTCGTTTTGTAACCTTTCACCCTCATTTTTGCTGAGGATTGAAGGCTTTATCCTCACATACGCAAAAAATGGCATCCTGAAAACTTAGCCATTCATGGCATAGCACAGAGAAACACAGCTTCTGAGCTCTCTGTGACTTCTTTTGCAATCAACACAATCTTAGGGAATTGCCTTTGGCACTGACAACTGCATCAGATAGAGTAAGCTAATGTGGAGGGAATGCCTTTTCTGATGTGACCTATCATGAAAGCATGCTCCCTGTGTCTCCATAAATTAAAGCCACTTCTGAGAGTGAATTCAACTGTATTTGGAAGGAAACACAAAAGGATGACTCCTGCCTGTAGAGAGAAAAGGGTTTACAGTAATGAAAGATAAGAAGCTGTTGTGAGTAAGATTATAAAGCAGTATAAAATGCCCTACTAGGTCAGACAGGTGATCCATCTAGCTCTTCTGGCTCACACAGTGCCTAGAAGATGTATGGTTTTGGGTGAGCATGGGATCCTAGGCACTTTCTGTGGTCTATTCCCCTTTCGTTGCTCTTGTATTAGGATATTAGAGAGTACCTTTGTAGCTTGTCCTTTTAGTATACATTTATGGATTTTTGTGCAGGAATTTTCTTCTTTCTGAACTAGCTAATATTCCTTGTCTCCACTAGAGACACTGTCCAGAATTCTGCTCGACAGTGTTTTGTGAAGTACTTCCCTCAATTTTTCAGAGATCTTCTACTAGCCTAGACTGGCCTATGGTACTGCAGTAGGGCATTTTGTGAAAAGCAGTTCTGCATTCAGGTTATTGGTTCTAATATATGCATATTGTAATATTAGAATCTTTAAAAAATTTAAGTTAATGAACGTTTTTAATAGTAAGGCAGGAATATTGTCAGATGTGGAAAGCTGAATAAGAATTTGTTTGGTAAAGAGAAACAATGAAAAAAGTCTGCAACCTCTGAGTACTGAAAGATTCTTAAATTCTTAATACTTCCACCCACAAGATAAAATATTAAAACACAACAAAGAAAAAAAAAATTGTTATAGAATGTATGAGCAACAATTTACTGTCCTAGTATCAGGAATAAGAAATAATAGTCTTTTTTTGGGTTGGTTTTTTTTTTTTGGTTGTTTGGGATTTTTGGCCAAAAGAAATTTTTGACTGAAACAACCTGAATAGGTATTTTGCATTATTCTAACAAATCCTACTACAAGTAAGTTAATTTTCCTATGACTGTTGAGAAGAAGCAGGGGTAGTACTGCTTCCAAATTGAAACACTTGCAAACTACAAAAAATTTAAAGCCTCAGGTAGTTGTAATAATTTTGTGTCAATGACAAGAAAGTTTCAATTCATTATTCTGACACATACTTGTCCTCATATTTTGTCACTGCTCTTCTTCCCAGTTCATCTTAAAATGCAGTGTTAAGAAATGGTAAAGTATCATCAAGAAATTTTATTTAGCCATCAGTATGGAATTTATATACTGATAGCTAATTTCCATTTTAGAATGCAGAAATAATACATTTAAGATCTTTACTGCTCTTAGAATTTATTGTCCTACTGACTTATGGCAGGTAATAAAACCTGCTTGTATAGTCCATAATACTGTAGTCTTATATAATTATCACAAATAATGGCTGAATGATGCAGCTAAGTATTTGTCCCTCACCAAAATAGCTACAACATCTGAGGACATGCATACATTATTTTTTTAACTGATAATGTATAGAAAGGGCCCTAGCTGGAATGTGGCAAACTAAGGGATTCCCAAATCTGGTCTTGACTCTTAAATTCATACTGTACCTTATAGTCATTCTCTACTCTGGTGAGATTCCACCCAGAGTACTGTGTCCAGCTCTGGAGTCCTCAGTACAATTTTGTGTATAGATACAAACTTCTTTATATATATTGTATACTATAGAGTGACCAGTGTGAAAACTGTGAAAGAGTGGAATGCTGCTAATACAGCTAATAAGCTTTTCAGTAAAGATTCAGAAGTCCGCAGTGCTATGTAAGATACATGTCTAACTCACATTCTTTAACTCATATTCTTTTTTGCCTAACTGCTGTCCCATAGAAATGATCCAGAAAAGACTCCAGCAATAAGAAAAAAAGGGAATTAGCATTCTTGCAGTTATTTGCCGCCAAGTACATTGGGTATTAAAAAGAAAAAAAGTCAGAACAAAATTCTGATTTCACATAACCTGGAAGGCATTGAACAGATCAATAAAAAAACTGCTGAAGTTTATTAGATAACGTCAGATACTGTTTTTTGTAAAGCTATAACAGACACGAGTGTGTTATTTATGAACAACAGAAAAGATTCAAGGTAATATTTCTATTACAAGGTTTAAAATAATATTTCTGTGCATGAGAGAAAAATACTATTAGCAGTACTTAGAGATGTTGAGTTATAGTTATAGGTAGAATCAGAAAGACACACTTCAGCCACTACTACTGACTTAAAATTAAGAATGCAAAAACCATAACATTTCTTGATTTCTTGGAAGTTATTTTTATGTTAAACTCTGTTATTAAAAACGAAGGGAAAATAAGATCTCTTTCAGGATCATTAGACCTTCAGCAAAATAATGAGCCCAAGAAACTTTGGTGTTGTAAAATG